CCCAGCCCTATCAACTAGCTAAATGATTCCCCCCAACGCAACATCCATCTGCCTCCTAAACACCTCCAAGGACGGTGACTGGTGACCCACCAGGAGAAGACGCAGCCAGCACGGATCCAACCCGCTCTCCACCCTGCTTTGCAGGTCATCCCTCGGGCAACCAGTGTGCCCAGAGTGGTGGACTCTGACAGGGGCCTCACAGAATCACAGAATTGTTAAGGCTGGCAAAGCCCTCCGAGATCATCAAGTCCAGCCCATGCCCCAACATCCCCATGTGGGCCAGACCAGGGCACCAAGTGCCACATCCAGCCTCTCCTTAAACCCCCCCAGGGACAGTGACTACCCCCTGTCCGGGAACTGGTGCGGAGCCCCCGACTGGCTTACAGACTGCTCCGTGAGGAAGGGCTGCCTGAGACCCAACCTGACCCTCCCCTGACACAGTTTCAGGCCGGGCCCTCTCATCCTGTCACTGGGTGCCCGGGAGAAGAGCCCGACCCCCCCTGACTGCACCCTCCCTTCACACAAGGGGACACTTCCCCTTGAGACAGCCAAAACCTCACAGGTTTTAGCAAGGGCTCACAGCCTTCTCCAGGCTCCTTCTCACCCATAAACTCCTTGCAGAAAGCAGGTGCACTTGGATCGATTACCAGCTTTTCCCAGGTTGCCCAGCACAGCCTAACAACAACCCGCGTCAGCCGAGCACACACTTCTCCAGGGAAGTTTGCAGACCGCTGTCCATTTGACAAAAAAGGAGCCTGGAGCAGGGGAAGCTGTCAGTGCTGCCCGCCAAAACACCACAAGACACAATTTACCAGCTACAGAACGAGCCCATAAATTCACACCTGGAGCTGAAACCTCGAGTGCCGGGACTCCCGCGCCTCACTGGCACCTCAGCCCGCTCAAACGCCGCCCCTCCGCTTCCAGCTCTTTTCCCCGTGTCACGAACGGGTAGGAACGGAACATTCTAGTCCTTTCTGGTCGTTATTTTTATTATAGAATTTTCCATTTTTTGCAGCTTGGGTTTTAAAAAGAAGCCGTACGAACTGTTGTAGCCACCACACAGGGCCAAACTCGACGTTAAATCACTGCCCGGGATGCTTCTCCACCATCCCCTGCAGTTTGGGTTGGTGTGAAACTTCCCACACTGACTTGAAATGGGATTTTTATTATTATTTTTTTTAATGGGAGCATGATTAGGCTTGCAGGAAGAAACGTAATCCTCCCTCTAATTCTGCTTGCATCCTCCCTGCTATTCAGAGTGGCACCAGTAACCCCCAGAGAAACCCAGTCCTGTGCCTCCCGTGGAGAAACCCTGCAGGGGCACCTGGGGGGGTCTTGGAGGGTGCCAGGAGCCCCCAGAGTGCAGGGTAGCCCCTGGTGAGGGGTCCAGCTACGGCTAAACCCCCAGGGGTTGGGAGCCCAAGAACAAAAGGCAGCAGACAAGAGCGAAAAAAAAAAAAAAAGGATTATGCGCCTTGCTTAGGATTTGGTTTCTATTTTTAATATTTTACTTTTTTCTCTGAATGGTGGCTGGGTTTGAAGGCGATCTAATCCCAAAGAAACAATCATATGTTTTGCTGCCCTGAAGTTTCAGGCAAAGAAATGTGCTTTAATTTTGGCGCGTGAAAAATTCAGATTTATCACACCTGCCTCCACCACTGCACCCTAGCATAGGCCACACAGCACGGGATAAGGACATCAGAGCCAAGAAACATCTAGAGCACATCTGCATAAATATCCTGCCTGCGGGGTTTTGTTTGTTCTTTCTTCAGCGAGAAGTCTACTTTTCAATTAAAAAAAAGGACAAAACCACAAGCAAAGCACCAAATAACGCCCATAAGCAGTGTGAGGAACAGCTCTAGGGAGGGAACTGCTCCCATCAGACATCCCACAGCCCTCAAATATTGATACAGCCAAGAGAGGGAGGCAAAGCTGGCCCCTTCCTGGGTGCCACTTTGTGCTGGGGACACCGCGTCCGTCAGTCCAGCTTGGCTTCGGGATAAAGGGAAAGCACGGTGGCCTCAGGTCAGAGCCAAGGAGACGCAATTAGGAGTCACGTGCATCTTTTGTGATGGTACTTTGGCCAAGAAAGGCTGGGCCAGATGATCCGTGAAGTCCCTTCCAACCTGGGATTCTATGATTTAGGTCTTCAGCTGCCACCGTTACCATGCAAAATGCGTCGGCTCTACATGGCACTTCTCCAGGGATGCTTTCCAAGGAAAATCCATGGCACCCGAAAACTTAGTCTGAACCAACCAGCCAAAATTCCCCCTGCCAATGCACAGGAGAGGGGCACGAAGCAAGGTGAACTATTATTTTGGAAAGAAAATTCCTATATAATGGATTTTTTAATAGATGGAATTCAGAGCCAGGTTGGATTGAAGGCCAGATGGGACGCGGCTTGGAGCAGCCTGCTCTGGCGGGAGGTGTCCCTGCCCATGGCAGGGGGTTGGAACTGGATGGTCTTTAAGGTTCCCTCCAACCCAAACCATTCTGTGTTTCTATAAAATAATGATGAAAAAGATGAGTTAAAAACAATCTGGACCTTGAGGGACACAGCAAATTACAGAAAACGTCTGAGAGCTAAAATGTGACAGACAATCCAAATATGACTTTACAGCTACCCTTGAGTTACAGGCAGCGCTTGACCCAAGGCAGGGCGTGAGGACTCCGCTATCGACTACTTTCCTATGTCAACCAACACATTTGGAGGAAGAAACGACCTTGAGGGACTATTTTTGACTCAATGTAACGTTAACAAGAGGAAAGTACGGGGCTGCTAAAATTCAGTCAAGTTCTTCACAATCGTGGAGATTCATTAAAAAAAAGTGGGTATCACAGTAAATTCATCTTTGCACTAACTCGCCACATCCAAGGATTTGTATTTTGTTCTTTTCTCCAGTATGGTCTAAGCTTACCAGGAAAAAAAAAAAAAGAAATGAAAAACGGTGGAATCTCCAGTTTTACATAGGTTTCGCAAGCAGAATAACCTTTCATAAAAAAAAAAAAAAAAGAAACATTTCAGCAGAAAATCTCTGAGCAGCCCTACAATTAACTCTGGCCTCCAGGTTTTGCAATAAACCTGCAGCTAAAAAAGACTGAAGCAGCAGCAATCAATCCCCCCCACCCCTGGCCACACGCTCTGGGATCCCACAAGCCGGGAAGGTTGGCTGCGCGAGCCAGCACCCCTGAACAAGATAATCCTCTCCCTGATGCAATCTTTTTTTTATTTTTCCCTTTTATTTTTTGGCCAGGAGGCCTGGCCAGGCACTGCCAGCAAAAGGATGCCTGGTGCAGAGGCATTTGGCAGGGGCTGGGCAGAATCAGCTCTAGCTGCATCCACCAAAAAACCCCAAAAGAAACATGTTTTTAGCCTTTATTACTCTTCTCCCTCCACACTCAGAGCTGCCCATGGTCACCCCAGGGTGCCCACAGCCACAAAGGAGCTGCCAGCAGCGACACCCCGGTCGGTGGCACATCTCACGGATGGTCCTTTCCTTCTCCCGACAGGAGTGATGCCCCACGATGCTTTGTTTGAGCTGCTGCTTCCCTGGGCTCCTCTCAGTTCCTTGCTATTTTTAAAACAGCTGTAAAACCTTCACCCTCCTGACTCCGACGTTGCACAAAAGCAGAAGAAACGATGGCTACAAAGCTGCTCTTTCAGGTATTTAAAGCTCAGTAAATTTTTTTGGAGCCACACAAGTTTTAAGCTCCAACTTGTAAAATTCCTCCCCCTTCGCAGCACCTCTGGATACAGAAAGGGCTATTTTTAAAATTTGCAACAGGAATTACTCACTTCAATTCTCTAAACCCATTAAACACCTAAATTAAATGTGCCTGACCCCTCCCTAGTTGCAGAAGACAGCTGGAGGGGTCACCGTGGTGACCGGCTGATGACTTCCAGGCTAATTGCATGCCACTCAATTTACCCATCTAAACTTCTGACAAGAGGAAACAAACAGCGATAGCTCCAGCCCGGAAAAAGCTTAACTGAGACTCCAGCTGATTATTCAAAAAAAGAAAAGCACAGGAATAGAAGCCTCCAGGTCAGCCACAACGAGAGCATCTTCACCGACATTGGTGCCCATCTACAGAAATCATCCGGGCACGGCAGGAAGGAGAAAGTGGAATTATGGAGATTCTTCACATTCCTCTTCCCTCCCCAGATTGCTGACTCGAAGCACGACCCCTCCTCTCTGGGTTCTGCAGCTCTCACTGAACATAGCAACAATCCTGCCTGCAAAACCCCCATTGGAGACACGGATACTTGGGCAAAAACGCAGCAACTTCAGAAGCCTCTGAGCAAAACATGCTTGTGCCTTGCCTGCAGGGGGGCTGGCCAGAGAAGAGGGGAAGAAAGCAGGGCAGCAGCGTATTTGGGTGTCCTGCCCTAAGGAGGACACTGAAATACCCTGCAGAGCACCTGCACCCCCTGCCAGGCACGGAAACATGCAGGATGCTCTGCATGCTCACCATCCGAGCTGTCCCCTTCCACCCACTCCACACCTATTTCACCTCCCCGCTGAATCTGCAGCCTTTGTAGCAAGGCTCAGAGAAATGCTCAGTTTTCCTAAGGCCATCAGCAGGATTTTTAAATGTCTAACCCTGGCACTCTGCTTTCCGTGAAGTTCATGCACCATATATAAAAAAAAAGTTCTGCTTGACTGGACTCACCATCGCCTGAAAGCACAGAAATATGCCAGAAAGGCAAACAGCTTGCTTTTAAAATGCACACCAAGGGATTCGAGTCGGAGAAATCTGGCATCTCACAGAAACACATAACTATGCGTGGAAACCCGGGTCTGAATAAGAATATTATCCTATAAGGCTGCTGGTAAATTAGACGGTGGAAGATAAATCTGGTGACTGGTAAGAGCAGGGACAGGGAAGCAGCCATGGGAAGGAGCGAGGGATGGTGACAGGGCTCTCTGAGGGGCCGGCAGCTCCAGAGAGGGGACATGGAGGTGGCAGCAGGGTGAGCGCGGTAGGAGCATGCTTACCTTGAGGAGCTTGCAGCGGATCTGCGCCGAGACCATGTGGCTGTTGCGGAGGTTGCCCACCCGGAACATGAGGGTGAGCTTGCCGTCCCGCATGGAGATGGCGGCATGCTCGCTGAACATCAGCGTCTCAGCCCTCTTCTTGGGCTGAGACATCTTGATGAACATGCAGCCGATGAGGAAGGCGTCAACGATGGAGCCCAGGATGGACTGGAAGAGGAAGAGGATGATGCCCTCGGGGCATTTGTCCGTGATGTAGCGGTACCCATAGCCGATGGTGGCCTCAGTCTCTATGAAGAAGAGGAAGGCGGAGGGGAAATTGTAGACGTTGGCCACGCAGGGGGTGTAGCTGTCATCGTGCGCCTTGTTCAGGTCGCCCCGCATGTAGGCGATCACCCACCACATGGAGGCCATGAAGAGCCAGGCCACGGTGTAGGTGAGGATGAAGATGAAGAGGTTCCAGCGCCACTTGAGGTCCACCAAGGTGGTGAAGAGGTCCGAGAGGTATCGGCTGGTCTCCCCGCCCAGGTTCCCGTGCTGCACGTTACACCGCCCGTTCTTATC